CCCTAGCCCTTACAAACCTGTCCAAACAAACACCTTAGGTGCTGTTGAGTTGTCTCCGACTCACAGCGACCCAGTTCTGCACCATCCTCCCAGTTGTTATGTTTGAGTTCACTGCTGGAATCTGCATCAGTCCTTCTTGTGAAGGCCGTTTTTGTGTTCGTTAACACTACTTGACGGAGCATGTTACTCTCTAGGGACTGGCCCCTCTTGATGACATGTACAAAGCATGTGAGCTGGAAGTCTCTTTCTTCTAAGGGACATCCTGCTGTATTTCTTAGAACACAGATATGTTTGTTCTCCTGGCAGTCCCTGGTATATTCAGTATTCTCCAACACCATGATTCAGAGGCATCAGTTTTTGTTGATTTCCCTTATTCACTGTCTAGCTTTTAAGATATTGGAGGAGATTGAATAATCCAGCCTCTCAATTTAAGAAGAAAATCTTACATTTTGCTCACAGTCAGTTATAATAGAGCTAAACAAGCACTCAGAGAAATGGGGTAGTTGAGGCTGGAAAGACGGTTACCATTGCATCGTCATGGTGGGCTATCTGCTCTCGGGAATCATCTTCCTGTCTAGAACTATAGTACTACAAGGGGAAACTGACCTGGAAGAGTTACAGTCTCAAACTCAAAAGGGAAGCTAACCTGTCCTGTAGGTTCACTCTAAGGCAGCATTGACTTGATTACAGTGAGCGTGAGATCGATGGGATTGCAGTCTTAGGAATTGCCCATATTTAGCAAAGATCTTGATGTTAGGATGTTTTTCTCCCTAAAAATGTAACAAAATCAAGTACCAGCTTTGAGTGAGTCTCCTTTGTCTTTAGAATTAAGACTCGTGACATTTGATATTAAAGCCCTTCGGGCATCTGGTTCACTCCTGTTTAGTCGCCTTTATTCCTTTACTACCATCTAGCTGAAGAGGATGCCCCTCACGGCTTCCTTTCAGTGTCCCTCCAGTGTGACCCTGAGGTCCTTGAGAAGAGAATCCGTTCCTGCTTATCTCTGTGTCCTGACAGCCAGTCCCTTGCCTAGCGCAGCATCACCGGGTCGCCATAATGGCAGAGTAGACGGTCTGTGCTCTGTGTATGCACTTTGTGTTGTTCCATGCCATAAGTCCCGTGGACCTTCCTAAGTACCTTGGGAATGCAAGGCAGACTAGAGTGATCTGTATAAGTAATGGATGCTAACCCTTTGACTGTGCCACTGGAACTGCGAGATATCAGTCACTGGAAGTAGTTTACATTCTTTGCTGAATTGAAACCCGTTGTGAGAATCAAGCTGTCTGGGCCATCCTCACTTTGAGAAACGTCTGAAATACATAGCACTCTACAAGATTGACATTTGGAGGCACCTTAGAGAATAAACCACCTAACTTTTTAATTCTAAAATGAGAAGGTACGGTAATAAGTGAAGTCAGAGGCTTGATTTGTATTTAGCAGTTGAGTGACTCGTGAGTGTTGAAAAGTAAGCTATGAGAGCAGTCTTAGCAGAGGCTCTCCTTACAACCATTGGCGAGTTTTAGGGTTCTAACTAGAGGTCCTGTGGCGTAGTTGTTACTTGTTGGGCTGTTAACTGAAAGGTCTGCAGTGTGAATCCACCAGCCATTCCGAAGGAGAAAGATGGGACTTTGTACTGCCACAATCAGTTACTGTCTCGGAAACCCACCTGTAAGGTCATTGTGAGTCGGCATCAACTCGATGGCAGTGAGTTTGAGTTTTGGACACCAGAGCAGCCTGACAGACAAAGCTGGACCAGAACCGCTTTCCAGCCTGGAGATGCGTAGGTCCCATCCAGGGAGCTAATCCCTTGGTTGTCTTGTTTGCTGTTAAACAGCATGCCCTTGCCACCCACTCCCACCCAGCCCAAATAGTCAGATCTCCTCAATGTGCGTAGCTGGTCCCCGGCCTCCTTTCTGAAGACACATGCAGCTTATTTTTTTCTCCCATCCGTTCTTCATGCACTGTCTTCTCTTGAGTGTCTGATGTCTAAGCCACTTGATAGATGCTTGAAGAATGCAACTTGGAGGTCCTTAGAAGTGCACCTCATAATAGCATTGCTGATGTGTCTGCGTTTGAAGATCACTGTCTAGAGAAGTATGACTAAGTACCCGATAGAAAAGTACATACGTTTGGTAACACTGGTCGCCTTGCCTCCCTCTTGATGGAGGTACCAAGGAGACCAGTGAAAAGAAAGCACCCAGACTTTTTGTTTTAAATCCCCTATTTTCCTGCCTTTAGTCACAGGGCTCACTTTAGGGGGCCACACATAGTAGCACCTCAAGGGAGAATGGTGGAACAAGCACACAGCTCAAGGACTCAGTGTGTTGACGTTGCCCAGTGAGAGCAGCAAGGGAAAGAGGTGGCAGGGATGCTTTCCCACAGGTATTGTGTATAGAGCCAGCCCTGGAGGTTAGGTGTACAAAGGAAGGGTGGGCATGAGTCAGATGTGCCTGAGTGCAGCTGTGGTATGTAATGTTGTGGCAGGCGTTCATGGTGGGCTTGTCTGTTAAAGACAAGAGGATCTGCACCAGAGACAAAGGTCCCGAGCCTTCAATGCACAGAAAGCCTCCAGGCCTATTAATCAAACAAAGCAGGTTCTCAGTTGTTAGACTTAAACCAGATCCCTGGTCAATTGTAGTTGAGGCCAGTTTTCCACAGGGAAAAAAGTGCTCAGATTTGCCTGTCATTATCAAGAATATGAGACTAACTCTTGTGACTAACTCATACCATGTGCTGCTATAGGAATTCTGAATGTGGTGCAACCCTGCCTTGATTTTATGGCAGCTTATTGGAGCCATCTCTGAACATTGTAATGCTGCACACTACAAATGGAGCTCCCCACCGCTCCACGCCCTCTCTGGAATCTGGCTTGAATTTCTGGCAGTTCCCTCTTGATGGACTGCTGCAACCGTTTTTTGAATTTTCTTCAGCAAGTTTTATTTGAATATAATATTAATGATATTCGATAACTTTTGTATTTTGTTGGGTCATCTTTCTTAGAATAGGCACAAGTATGGATCTTTTCCAGTCAGTTGTCTTCCAAATGATTGGTTGTAGGCAAGTGAGTGCTTCCAGCAAGGGATAGCATTGCTGATGTCAGATGGATCCTGGCTGAAGGTAGAGAGGACTAGAAAGATGTTTGCATATGTTTTATTGGCTATGCCAAGGCATTCGATGTTATAGACTAAAAAATTAGTGGATTGCGTTATGAAGGATGAGGATTTCAGAACACTGGGGATCTAGTGGCAGTTATTTAAACAGAACACGGGGCTGCTGTGTGGTTTCAAATATTGAAAGATACACATCAGGGTCATATCCTTTCACCATACATACTTAATGTATATGCTGAGCACATAAGAAGCTGGACTCTGAAGAATAGTGTGGCACCAGGATTGGAGGAAGATGTGTTAACCTGTGCTATGGAGATGACCCATCTTGCTGGCTGAATGTGAAGAGGACTTGAGGCATTACTAATGAAGACAAAATATCACAGCCTTCTACCTCAATGCAAAGAAAAGAAAAATCCTCACAACTGGACCAATAAGCAACATCATGGTAATGGAGCAAAGAGTAGAAGTTATCAAGGATAACTGAGATTTTCTTGGATCCATAATCGACACGCCTGGAATCAGCATTCAAGAAATCAAATAAAGGGTAAATGTGCTGCAGCGGACTCTTCAGCGTTAAAAAGAAAGATGTCATTGGGAGGAATTGGCGGGGAGTGTGACCCAAACCGTGGCATTTTTCAGTCACGTCCTGACTGTGCAAAACTGGGCGGTGAGTACAGAGGACTAAAGAAGAACGGGTGTCTTTGACTGGGGTGTTGGTGAAGAATGCTGAAAGAGCCCTATCCTGCTAGAAGAACTAACAGATTTGGGAAGAAGTACAGCCACATTGCTCCTCACAAGCAAAGATGGCAAGACGTGTGTCACATACTGTGAGCATGTTATTGAAAGGACACCATGCTTCATACAGAAGAGAGACAGTGACTAGGAGGATGACCTTCAGTGAGTCAGATTCACCGAGTGGCTGCGGCAGTGGGCTCCAAGAGCATTGATGGCAAGGATGCAGACGGCCTGCCCTGGCTTTGTGCTCGTGCCAGGGGTCGCTGAGTCAGAGAGTGCTTGATGGCACCTAACAAAAGCAACAAATGAAGAGACAGCTTTCCTTGTTAGAGATTTTAAGTGAACTCATTTCTCTTTGGAATTAATTAATCACAGGAAAATGGTTGCACTTGAAGACAGAACAATTTGATCTTGCTTTTATGATTCTAAGTATAATAAAAAGTTCAATTGAGTTTTCCCAACTGTGATTGATGTTCACTATAAAGTATTGGAAAGTACAGAAAAATAACAAGTACACCCTTGACATATAGGAACACATGGACATGTTCACATTTTTTCCTAGTGCTAATTTATTTTACATAGTTGTAATACTACCGAACATAGTGCTTTTATATTTTCTCCCATTATAGATTCTTTGTAAAGACCACGTTTAAATACTATTACAGCATTCTATTCAGTAGATATTCCATTGTTTTATAGTTACAGGGTTAGGTAGTCTTTAGTTCTTCCAATGGTGTTTTTAGATTGTTTCTATGTTGTTTTTTATATAAATAATGATTTGTGAACATCTTCATGCCTACGTTTGGAGGACTGGAATTATGGGAGTATAAAGAGGGACTAAGTTGAAGGCCTTCATTCCCAAGACAGCACAGGCACTGGGAGTGTTTGTCTTATCAGACCTTGAGAGTGCACAAGGACGGGAACACACACACACACACACACACACACACACACACACCCCCACACACACCCACCCACCCACCCCTGGTATTCATGAAGCAAGCATGATTGGTTTGACAGTATAAAAATAGCCCTTTTGGTTTTGCTCAGGGTTTTAACGGTGAGTGGCATTTTAGCTATACTTTCTTCCTGACTGCTTGGTGGGATTGGACATCAGAGTGCTCTCTTGACATGGAGCTTCTGTTTATTTTTGAGGTATCCCTCTCGGATTGAAAAAATAGATTACGAGGAGGGCAGGATGTTGGTCCATTTTGAGCGCTGGAGTCACCGTTATGATGAGTGGATTTACTGGGATAGCAATCGGCTGCGCCCCCTGGAGAGACCCTCTCTGAGGAAGGAAGGGCTGAAAGATGAGGACGAGTTCTTTGTAAGTAGCAAGCTTCTCTTCCCTGGTAGTTTTGCTAGATATGTAATGGCGTATTGTAAAAGGAATTCAGTTAAATTTTAAAAAAGCCAATTTTTGTTAAGGAAATGCTTTTTTATTGCAATACATGGTATTGATCTTAAAAGTTGTTTAAAATAGGATTTTAAAGCCGGAGAGGAAGTTCTGGCTCGTTGGACAGACTGTCGCTATTACCCTGCCAAGATTGAAGCAATTAACAAAGAAGGTATGTATTTGATTGGAGACTTAGACTTAAACTGGGCTGCCTAGTAACATTTAACCATATTTCAAGTTTTAGTTAAAACTAACTTTGTATAGCTCTACTTTGTTTTAAATTTCACTTAGCGACATTTCCTGCCAGCCGTCTCTGGTGCTGTAAATGTGGTAGCTGTTAAGTAAAATGAGATGGTTGGCTTTTTACTGGCTAAGTAAGGGGTGTCAGTGAGTAGAGTTCAGTTGTGGTTATAATTTTACAGCTTTCCATTTACAGGCTTTTCTTTCCACGTCTCTGTTTCATTCTGTTGGCTGAGATATTTTTCACTAGTGGCCTCCGCTCTCAGCGAGAGTGGGAGGGAAGGTGAGAGCCACAGGGAGATTCAGATCACTTCTGCGAACCAGCGAAATGCAGCCCCATGTTTTCTGTAAAGAGTGTGGGGTTTTGTCCATCTGAGGACTTTCTTGATTGCTCCGTCCTCCCTCTCCTCCTCCCTTCGTTTTGGTGGGCGATTCGGAGGCCATTTTCCTCATGCCCTCAGTGGGCATCTGCTGAACTCTCGTTCGTGACTGCATGGGAACGCTGATGTGTGGCAGAGAGCAGAATCTATAGACTGAGGACTGGTGAAGTCCTGCGCGTTAGCATGTAAACAAGTCATGTACAAGATAGGCTTAGTTTATTTTTTTCAACTTCTCATGTAAACTCTACTTTAAAACAATTGGGAAAAATTTGTAAACACATCTTTCAAGTCAGTGATGACAATTCTTTCAGAAACGTGAGCATGTGCTTACTCTGTTTACTCAGCGAGCACACAGCCAGTGAGAGTTTCTTGGAAGAAGGACAGAGCCTGTAAGCTGAGTCTTGACAGGCAAGCAAGCTTATGGGGTAAAGAAGGGCTGAACAGGCTTTCCTGGCAAAAGCAGGGAGTGAGAATGGCATGCTGTTTTTAAGGAGCTGCCTGTCCTGGTGTGACTCGTGTGGGATGCTGTCCAAACCACTGAAGGGCCAGGAGGGCGGGAGAAGGGATGGGAGAGAGGGACACCTCAAGGACCAGGATGTGTGGTGGCTTATCATCGTTGCACTGAATTTGCTTTGTATGCACCAGTGCTGGGGACCAGGACGGGGTTTACCCTAGGGGGTGAAACTAACATAAAAAGGTTGGAAGAGGGAAACATAAAATGGCATCTTTTTGGGAAGGAAGGGTGTGAAAAATTCACCCCCACCCAGTTGATGCCACAGTGACTCTGTAAGACAGGGTGGAGCAGCCCCTGTGAGTTTCCTAGACTTCCACTCTTTATAGGAGTAGAAAGCCCTGCGTTCTTCAGGGGAGCAGCTGGTGGTTCTAACTTCAGACCTTGCAGGTAGCAGCCCAGCACGTCTTCACTGCCACTAGGGCTCCTTCTGAAGACTGTGAACAAAGGATTGAGAGTCGTCTCCTAAGGAAGCCTGGTACAACTTGACAAAGGATCTCATCGAATCCCTTGCCTTAATGAGTGAAAAGAACACACATGGCTGTGGTTCTGTTAGTACCAGGCAGCTACCACAGGGAGGACTGAGGACTGCTGCTCCTTTGACTCTGCAGCCTGCACCCTGTTTTCCTGGGATGCTGGGGTGCGCGCCTGCAGTCAGTAATAATGTGGCAGAATGAGAAGTTGCACTAAGTGAAGGACTGAGTCTGTTCTGCTGGGTGATAGACTACCTGGCACAAATGAAGTAAAACAAGGGGGAATAAAGCTCACAGCACGAGTGAGATTGCTGACAGCGATGGCTGCCATTCCATGAGGACTCTGAGCCAGCCTTTGACTGCTGGCAAGTTAATTGCTACCCATAGTAATCCTACAGGACAGGAGAGCTGCCCCATTGGATTTCTAAGACTAAATCTTTATGGGAGTAGAAAGCTTCATTGTCCTTCCAGAGAGCCGTTGTGGTTTTGAACTTCTGACCTTGTGGTTAGCAGCCCAACACATAACCACTATGCCACCAAGGCTCTATGTTGACAGAGAGTGTATTAATCTCAATAGAAAGTATTTCCTTGTAGAATTGAAGAGTAGTGTGGAGCTGATCTGTGACTGGTGAGTTGGAGTGAGGGCGCATGAAAAAAGGAGAAGGCTGCCCACAGAGGAAATGGGTGGGTGAGCTGGGCTGCCCAGTTGGCCCAGTGAGGAGTCTGGTGTGGTGTGGTGTGCTGTGCCATGTTGGAGCAGTGGGGAGAGCTGCAATAAGGCGGTGGTGTCGGGTCCAGACAAGCTCAATGTTTCCACACTGTTTTCATGCCCTCGCTGCTCACCTGAGAAGTGTATGTTTCCTACCGTGGACCGAGCCCTTCCTCTCTGTGATGCTGTGCATGACACTCATCCTGGGGAGATACAGAGTCGAGGGCTGCTTTTCCTTTTACCAAAAAAAAAGAAAAGAAAGAAAGAAATCTCTTACACATCGCTCAATGGCTTGCGTGCTTCTCCGCTTCTAGAAAGGCCAGTTCTTGGTTTACGTAAAATGCAGCCTGCCCGCATTTTGTGCAGGTATTGGTAGACACTGTTGACATTTCCACAGGTATAAAATCTGCCCCAGGTCTATATTTTCTAGTACCATTGGCCCATGTGGCCAGCACATGTTCAGTCTGTAACCAGAGGTGGGTGTGTCACAGAAGGCCCTGGCAGATAGGGATGGGGGAGGCAGGCCCCTGCCAGGGAGCAGGTGTTAGTGAGGAGGGTGGCTGGGCCAGCATGTCTGTTGCTTCTGCACCGCAATGTCCTCATCTGCTGACACTGACTGTAGGTGATGTGTGGAGCATTTTCTAGCATATAATTCTGGGAATCTATATTTATTTGTCAATTCATTATTTTTGCCAAAGAAATCATTCAAGGGAATGATTCTTAAAGGGAGTAATGATTGTTCCTCTGAAAAGCCCAGACCCATTTGATTTTGTCAAGGTGTGTTGTCACTCTGGTTGATGAGATTCTTAGCAAGTAAATCACAGGCTCTCAGAATTGAAATGCCATGAAACTGATTGGTGAAGATAATTTTTATGAACCCCTTCAAGCAACTTAAAGTTGAGATTGTTTTGAGAGGAAACTTGGAAGTGATTTGTTGACTGTGATGGGCTTTTTAAAGGGGACTTGAGTCTGTAATGGCTGCCTTCCCCAGCAGTCATCTCTGTCAGGGCCACCTGTCAAGATTGCAAGGGCACTGTGTGGTCCAATTCTGTTTGCTAACGGTTCTGACTTGCTCCTCTTGCAGGGACATTCACAGTTCAATTTTATGATGGCGTAATCCGTTGTTTAAAAAGAATGCACATAAAAGCCATGCCCGAGGATGCTAAGGGGCAGGTAAGAGCCATCAGCGTTCTGAGCAACCCTGAGGGATGTCTTCGTGAACGGTGACTGGTCACAATCGATTGCTTCGGTTTCTTTAATTTTTATTTTTTAAGTGAACTAATTGTAGGGTTATGTGCTGATAGCCCCAAATAGCAGCAAGAAAAGAAAAAAAACTTAGCCCATAAAGCCATTATACCCATGATTTTCACTGCTTCGGTTCTAGACCTGCTAAAGTTATAGGTCGCTAGTTTCTGTTCCAGGTGAAACCCCCGCATCCACTAAGCTGGGGTTGTCCTATCGACCCAGCTGGATCGTGTAACCAGCCTATGGGAAGTGAGGTAAGTGCCTTTTTTTAACTTCGCTTTGGTGGTCCTGGTATTTAGTATCACTCATTTACAAAGTTAATTCTGAATAGACACGCTTTGGTTGAGTTTCTCACCTTCCTCTTCCCAGCTACAAATCCTAGTCAGTGCTCTTCTTGTAAAAGGCGCTTACCTGACCCTCTGTAGGCTGTTCGCTGGGGGCGGGTGCCTCTCCAAGGCTGGGTCTCCTGAGCTCTGTCACTGCTCAGAGCAAGGACGGAGGGTGATAGGCATGGGAGAGTCTAGATCGGGGCTCAAGCCTTCATTCCATCTGGAGATACAGTTCCTAAGAGATTCTGGAGGGAAATGGTGCCGTTAGCAATGCAAACTTTTCCTTTATGTTCTGCTGTTATTTGGGATTTTCAGCACCTGGACCTACAATTAATGTCAAGGATTGAAAGTAATCTATACAAATGTCTCTTGTAGAGATATGTTGTGTGTGTGTGTGTGTGTGTGTGTGTGTGTGTGTGTGTCATGCAGGGCAGTGAGAAATCACTGTTGTGTGCAATGTACTAAAATGGCCTGGTCATGTGTAATGGTCGAGAAGTGGATGCCACCACATTCACAAACGGTCTGTAGCTCTGTCTGCATCTATTCCTGCCTTTGCTGACTTGACTGCTGTAAATAATCTGTTTTCAGAAATTTCAGTAATGAAATAACAGCTAGCTGGGATTTACCCTCCGCCCCCCAGTTAATAAGGAAATGCATTTTAAAATGAAAATGCTCTTGATTAGGGTATGGTTTTATGCATGGATCCTCATATGTCTGAATAAAAAGCTATTTTGATCATTCAGTGGTGTGCTTCCTTGGTTGCTTCCTAGAGAGAGGACAGTGTTGGGGACATAGGGTAATAGTTTCCTGGGTCAACAGTCTCTTGTTTTGGCCTTTCCAACTATTGCTTTGTTTCCCCGGCTGCTCGGACAGCCTTGGGGTGGCACAGCTCTTTTTGCCTTAAGGCTTACTTTCCCCACACAGGACGTTTAACCCGTTTGACTTGTGATAAAAGTCTGCACTGTTACAGTTAATCTGAGCACTTATTGGTATTGGCTATATTTAGTTTTCATGTGTAATAAATACTTCTGTCCAATGTAGGGCAGGGTAACATTAAAATCAATACCAAAATTCAGAACTACTGTTAAAAAAATGGGACTACTGGTCTAGTTTTTTTTATTTTTTGTTTTTTTCTTCAGAAGTAGTTCTGATTGGCGCACTGAAATCTTTCCCAGCGAGGTTTACTTTGTATATGAAAAACTTCCATCTGCCGAATGTGTTTCTTTTTTCCTAACAAGTCTGGCTTGTTTTCACTGGGAAACGACTCTGCATTCAGGTCTGTGGACAGCACCACCAGAAGTCCCGTATGCACATTATCCTGTGGAGCTTGGGCGGATGCTCTTAAAAAAAAAAAAAAAAGAATCTCTCCATAAGGATGGAAGCAGAATTTCTTTCGTTAACTAGCAAAGCAGAGTGCAGTCAGCTGACAAATGCTCTTTGGAAATGCCCTTCCGTAACCCTTGGGCAGCACCTACAAAATCTCTGACACAGTAACAGTTTACAGAGGCAGTTTCCACCCTCATTCATACCCGGAGCCTGAGCGCAAGCCGAAGCCCCTTGCATTCTGACTCTCAGCCAGGTGGCTCAGATGGTAAACTCCCGTCTGCATTCAGAGCTGTTCCTCAGAGAAGTGTGGCCTATGGTCTGTCTTGCACTTTACTTAGAGACTGACTGACCTTCTCCAGGGAAGAAATTATGACCAGTAGACACGGTGACTGCCCTAAATAAGACCGCCTCCTTTCGTTCCACCTCCTCCCCTCCCCATTCCCAGTGGGGTGGTGGTACTAGATGCTAGCAGAGCTGTGAACCTGTAGTGGCTGTGCAGTGAGGTCTCTTCTAATGTGGTTGCTTCTGATCTGCTAGCCTAATGAAAGCCTTGGAGCTGTAATTACAGAGCAGGAGACTGGGCCATTGTATGTTTCATTTGGGGGGCATGCCACAGAAGAAATACTTGTGTTTTCTCACCCAGCCTTTTCCTGTGTGTGTGTGTGTGTGCTGATGATACAGGCAACGCCCAGGTTATGAGTATCTGACTTACAAAGACTCCCCAATGCTCTTTGGCTGTTACATGGAGTTGGGATTAAACTCAGAACAAGCTCTTCATCATAGTCACCTTTACTGGCACACATGCAGCTCTTAAATCATGGAAAGGGCTTTTGAGCCTTTTCTTGCACCAACCCCCAAATCCACGCCAGTCGGGTGGATTCCATTTAATAGAGACCTGGGAGGACAGGGGAACTGGTCCATAGGGTGGTTTCCATGGCTCTAAAGCTTTATGAGAGCTGGCAGCTCCATATCTGTACCCTACAGAATAGCTGGTGGGTGTGAACTGCCAACCTTGCAGCATGGGTAGGGCTTAACACGTCACACCATGAGAGATCCTTTTTTGTATGAAAGTTAGATTAAGTAAGTACTGTGTGTACCCAAGCTGATTGAACCACAGATTTACTCTAAAGATACAGGCCTGCTGCTCGAGCCTGCAGTGACTCAGGAGTGTTAGGATTAGTGTATGGTATCTTCTCTATTTCCAAAACATTTCAGCCTGCTTTTGTTTTTGAGCAAACCCTTCGACATTGGTGTAACTGGTCTGGCTTTCTGTTAGTAGAAGAATTCAGAGACTGGAGAGACTGGCCATTTTTCTTAGCCGGTCACTTTGTACAGAGGACTTCCTTGGGGCCTGATCTCCTGACCTGAGACCCAGTCCTCCTTTGAGGCCTGCCTTTGCTGCTAGCACAGAGGGTTAGAATCTGTCAGTCTTGGCTCTAACTCACGGGAGGATCACACCCCGCGGTCTTTGCCAGGGAATCTTCTCAACTTAAATCCCTCATGGGAAATCAGAAAGGTCAATGTGATTCTGGAGCATCTCATCCCTCCTTATGGGAGATAGCAGAGATAGAAACGGCCCCTGGTGTCCTCTGTTGCAAATGTGCCCCACCCTGTGAGACCACAGAGAGATGCCCTGCTCTCCTGGAGACTCCTAGCATGTGACCTTGGATTGGCTCTCTGTGCTCTTGGACACATGTCCCCTGACTTGTTGATGACTCTCAGGATTTCCATTGGTGTTGCTTTCTTAGCAAATGTGCCTGTCCAGTTGCAGTTTGCTTATATGCCTCCGTTAGCTCCCCATATTGCCCCAAGCCCTGAGCCACTTTGTCTATCCTTGTCAACGGTGACTCTGTGTTTTTGTGGCCTTTTGTCCTTTTGCTGGAAGTGCCTGTTTTCTGTTCATCCTTCACCTTGCTCTGGCTTTGCTTCTCAATCGGGATTGGCCTGGTCTTCCTGCCAACTCATTCAGCCCTCAGTGCATTGCTTGCCACATTGTCTGGTAGTTTGGTTTATTTGCCTGTGAATTCCTCTGTTCTTGTTTTTAAGTGAATATGTGGCATGGTTCCTGGCATAAGTAGCAGGGAATTACTAGAAAGATGATGGAGGATTGCGGTAGACATGCGACCACGTGTCTTCCTTTGTCTGCAGTCGTGGCGGGTGGGTGGGGAAGAGAGAGGCATCAACTGTATTTCATTGTCTTAATGGCTTCTTGTCTTCATCATGTATTTCCGAGACTGAACAGCTTTCAGCTTGTATTCCTTACTCATACCTATCTGCATGATTAATATGACGCATGGATTGATGTGAATTATTGTCACTGCTTGGACCCTGAATTTAAGATCTTACACACCCTGTGTTTGACAGAACCAAGTGGCATCAGTGGAGGGTACATTTTGTAGAGAGATGACAAGTATTTGTTGTTTTAAGAAAAACATTAACACCACTTTGATACCTCGCCATGATTTTTATGACCAGTTATTTTAGTTAAAAATAAAGCCATGAAATTTAGCAACAAGCTGAAAAACTTAACCAGAAGAAATATGAATTAGTTAGCATCAGAAGGATAGTAACTAACAGGGGCCCAGAAAGTAACCCAGAGACGGGCAGTGTACACTTGACCAGGGCCAGCACAAGTGGGCTTTGTGTTTCCATCAGTAACTCTAGACTGTTGTGATGAATTGGTATCTACACTTTAAAAGCTTGAAAATAATAAAGCCCTGCCTTGGTTTTCACATAATTGATTATATTTTAAATGATACATTCTCTTCCTAAAAAAGAATAACTATTTGCTCCATGGAAATGTATTTCCTATAACCCTTATAGAATTGCAGAATCATCCCTTTTCCCTTATAGTCTTTAACAATCAGTTGTATCATGGGAAAGAAACAGTTTGGAATTTGAACCCTAAAAGTTCTTTGGCAGAATGTCACATAGGGTCCTGTGTTTTGTGATAGACGTTTCTGATGTTGTTTTATGTTTTATTCCTATGACAATATCAGGGGGATATTAGTGATTTGAATATGTCCCTGTTTCATGCACGTGTGCACAGTCACTTGAAAGCCTACTGTGCTGATGATTCACCTTGGTAATTGGTTGAACTTGCTGTTCGTGTCTGGGTGCCTACGTGAAAGTAGCTTTGAAAATGCTGTGTGTGCTTTTATTTTCATTAGTGTAATTGCATCTTGATTCATTTTTAATACCTACCATGTTTTGTGTGTTTCCCTTGGAGGACTGGATAGCTTTAGTCAAAGCAGCTGCGGCAGCTGCAGCCAAGAACAAAAGCGGGAGTAAGCCTCGGACCAGTGCAAACAGCAATAAGGATAAAGATAAAGAGGAGAGGAAGTGGTTTAAAGTACCTGCAAAGAAGGACGAATCCCCCACTGCCACCGTGGCACCTGAGCTCGGGAAGAAGGAAGACCTGCCCACATCTAGTGACACATTTGGTACAAAACCCTCCCTCATGTTCATGCCTGTGACAGTGGACTAGCTCAGGTCCCTGGTAATTCTGTTCCTCTCATTGAATCAGGACAACCCCACCCCCACCCCACCCTGGCACAGGATGAGGGCTCCCTTTGTAGACTCTTACAGAGAGGTCTGAAGACAGGTGGTCTAATGTGGGTCCTTACGAGAAAATGCCTCAATATCCTGGAATAGAGACAAATGGAGATTGTGATTCGTAACTTCTCAGTCGTAGGATTTTGCTTATGTACTGTTTTGAGTTGTGTTTTCTCTCTGACTCTTTAAAGACCTGTGTGTATTTCAGTACTGTACACACAGTGGAGAAAGCACTCAGTCCTTAAGTCCTGCTTTTCCTTCCTGAAGAACAGCTTCCCCATAGTCGCATTTCTACGACTCCATCTGGATATTAGATGGGTGTTTTGCAGATGTCTGGGCCAAGTGCTAGACTGAAAATACTATTCAAAGCTTTTGTACTGTTTTTCTACTTAAAAAAAAAAGTTTGTGTGTCTTGGTTTTGGATTCTAGATCAACTCTTATACATGTATTCTATTAAAAGTAGGACTTCATGTAGAGAGCATTCCAAAGATGGTCTTTCCACAGCCAGGGAGCACGCTGTCAACCAAGAGGAAAAGTAACCAAGGCAGCTCCTTTCAGGCAAAGAGAGCCCGGCTTAACAAGATTACTGGTAAACTACAACAATTCCTTTTG